ATGTATGTATATGTATGTATATGTATATATGTATATGTGTATGTATATATGTATATGTGTATGTATATATGTATATGTGTATATATATGTATATATATGTGTATATATGTATATATATATGTATATATATGTATGTATGTATATATATGTATATGTATATATATAATGTATATTATACTATTCTTAAATTGTTATACACTTCCATTTTTTGAAAGCGTTATTGTCTATGGATGCATTTCATGGTTCATAATCTTTAAAAATACTACTGCTTGAACATTCAGATAGTATTATTATAGAGCTGGAAAAATTATGAACGAGCAGATCATTCAAAACATAGGCCTATATGTGTATGAAAAAGAATAGAAAAGAAAAACGTATAATACTAGACAATACTCTTTATTCGATATTTATAAACTGGTTCTGCTTTTGAAAGGTGACATTATTATTATTGTTTGTTTTCGGTAAATATTTCAGCCGCTCCAAGTTTCTTTCCTATTCTTCCTATTTTTTGCGTTCTTATAATTAACATATTACTTATTACATCATACATTCATTAAATTTACTTTTAAATTACGCTCTTTTACGTTTTAAATGCCTACAGTATTATGTATATGGTACATTGTGTTTGTATTTAATATACTTCTACCTTTGCCAATTTAAATTCAAAGATATGTGCTGGTCCCCGACCCTTTTATATTCACTTGGATAAGACTTCTACGAATGGATACCTTGTTCGAAGCAAGAAATCAAGTTGTTTAATTAAAATTAAAATTAATTAATTAAAATTAATTAATTACAATTAAAAATCTTTCCATACCACTTAAAGGTTCACACTTAGGCTAGCCAATTTTTAAGATATGTAATAGCTTAGTAGCAGCTGATAAATCATAGAAAAAAATATTCAAATCAAGTTGTTGCTTGCACTGGGAACATAGATAACAATACAGTGTATATATATATATATGTGACAGGTTCGTACTAGCTCGTAGTCGTATCGCGTAGTAAATCCAAAGCTGCAGCGCTGGCACAGACACAATAAAAATCAACAGAGGCCGTTCTCAGTTGGTGGATGTTGAAATACTTTTATTGATCTAGTGACCAGTCGGAAGGAGATATAAAAAATACTGTGTTAGTATTTTCATCGATATTCAATATTAGCGATTGTAATATTATCGATAACGTACATCTTTTAAATACAACTTATGATTAAAAATCATAACATTTAAAGTAAATTGTCTTGGTGACAATTGCATAACATATTGATCATAATCTAAAGTACCATTGCGTTGTGTCTAGCATAACGTTTAACATATTAACCTAAAATCAATCGTCAATACTAGTAACTATTATTATTGAGATTGTTGAAAACCGAACTTATTACTCACAGAATGGTGATTACAATATATCCAACCATTTAACTTAAGAATTACGAATAATCTAGTACTATGTAATATTAACAAAAATCAAGAGAAATAAAAACATAGATGCTTACCTAGTGACCAGTCGGAAGGAGATGAAAACCTTCGCCCTGGGCTAGGCACTGGTAAGTGTCATTCATTCTCAATTGGGTAACCATGACAATTAATACCAACTGATGGTATCTACATTTGCTATATTGATCAGTACCCAGAACAATGTTGTATGTCATATATCAAGCTTATACAGGTAACATGAGTATTTTAAAGCTTAAATTAATTGTAAAAATGAAATTATAATAGAAACCATGAAGAGACAATATCCCTTGTCCATTTATGAACTGGACCGTTCTGTAACATTATATACTAAATATTCATTAACCTTTTCCCGCCACTTGGATGAGGTGATGCCTTGACTCATCTGTTTTAGTGTGGTTATTTATTATCCAAAGTCTTAATCTAATGGGTCACACAAGGTTGCCCACTGGTAGAAGGTCAGATTCAGCAGACTAAATACTTAATGGTATAGGGTATAATAAGCATACCTGTTACATATATATATATATATATATATATATATATATATATATATATATCACTTGAGGCAAATTATCCATCTTGTTTGTTATTTTATTGAATATATATATGTATGTATCCTATAATACATGACCAACATATTGAGATATTTGTCAAGCATGATCAATTTTTCGATTAATAATTTTAACAGTAAATATACAAATGTACAATAATATAACAATAGTTAATAGCAGTTTGTTTTGTCCAATTATTATTGAATGGTTCTGAGCTTGGTTCAATTTTCATCTCCTTTCCTGCTCATGAGATGTACATTTCGCTTTTTCATTCATTCAGTCGTCTATGATGTCATCATGGATGTCGTCATAGATTCTTCTTCTTTTTCTAATTCTGTAGTTGCTTGGTTCTGTCCAATGTTCTTCAGATCATCAATGAATCATTTGATTCTACGTATTACTCTCATTTTTCCCCAAATTCAATATCAGAGTCCACTGGTCTTGTTATTGACTCGGCGGTAAATAGTAGAGACTACCCAGTGTCTTAACCTCATCTTGCGATATTACTCAACCGAGTTTGATCTGATCCTGTCTATGAATTTAGAATGACGTCCCATTGAATTCGTAAAATGCATTACACAGTAGATCACTGACTTTCCCTTCCATAACACTTTCCGGTATCAATAATCGCACTAGGATTTTAAGGTCGATCGGTTTAAGACTTTAATTGCGGTTCAATAAATTGAAGTCAAACGTGGTCGTGGATCGTAGAAGATCAGCGGCAATGTTCAATTATCTTTGTACAATAATTTCAGCATGTTTGTCGATTCGTGTTTATCGTACCAGTTTGATACTTGTATCAACATAACCTGGAAATCCCTTGTTCCTGTAAAAACACATTTTTCCCAGAATTATTATTATTGCTGTTGTATTGTAAAATAATATTATAAATGCCTGTCAACTTATCAACAAACCTATCAATTATTTTGGCAATATACGCTACAGTGGCGGCACGAGCGTCCGAAATCTTGGAAAGTGGGAAAGTGAGGGGACAAGGTCCGATTTGGGTGGGGACAAGGTCCCCGCCGAGAGCAAAGTGGGCGTGTTCGGGTGTCGATTAAAATGTCTCTAAACCTCTCCAGGAGGGAGGTTCTCTCAAAAAATATGACAAGTTATGGGTTTCAGAGGCTTATTTAATCGATTTTATCTACAGATAGTCTAATTTGTAGAAAATATATACAATATTTTTTCTCCCCTACCAAAATATGGTTTTTCTTCCTTTCTGGTGGGGAAAAGGGGGGGGGGGGAATTTCTGCCCTTGCAAAACCCCCCCCCCCTTTTCGTAGCACCGCCTTTGTTACTTGAAATTGGATTAAAATTAAAAATGAATAAACTCCAAATATTATTGTTAAACAAATAATGAATGCATTGTTAACTTATTATACTTTTCTGCATGTTATAAGAATAAAGGATTTTTTTTATTTCATTGATAGGCCTATAAGAGTACGGTAATATATATGTACGAAATATTTTGGGGTATGTAAATTAAGGTATGGTTTTCTTACTCTTAAAATACGCTTCAAATTTACTATATTCATTACATTCAAAATTAACCAAAATAAATTAAAGCAAATGAATTATAAATAATTTCAATGCTTACCTTCTACACATTATGTAAGGTACGTCATCTATTTCCGTTGCTATTTGTTCATGAGTCACAGGTCATGAGCTCGTTGGATTGTACTTGGTCTAAAGTTTTCTTCTGGTAACAACAGAAGTCTACAATCTAAAACGATATCAACATTTTGATGTAAATAAAGCTTTGATTTATACAAATGTGTTCGTCTGCCTAATTTCAGATTTGCTTCATTTAAGAACATCAATCAATAGCTCAATATATCAATAGTTCAATATCTCAATAGATCAATATTTCAATAGATCAATATATCAATTATTCTAATAGACTTAGTTCTTGAACACATGAACATGTTAAATTATTTTTGTTTACCCGATAAATTACAGAATGCCTGTAATTAGGAACAATACCATGACCAGCCAATTATCTGTCTCTTATACACATCTAGATGTGTATAACCTTTTCGTAGCACCGCCTTTGTTACTTGAAATTGGATTAAAATTAAAAATGAATAAACTCCAAATATTATTGTTAAACAGATAATGAATGCATTGTTAACTTATTATACTTTTCTGCATGTTATAAGAATAAAGGATTTTTTTTATTTCATTGAAAGGCCTATAAGAGTACGGTAATATATATGTACGAAATATTTTGGGGTATGTAAATTAAGGTATGGTTTTCTTACTCTTAAAATACGCTTCAAATTTACTATATTCATTACATTCAAAATCAACCAAAATAAATTAAAGCAAATGAATTATAAATAATTTAAATGCTTACCTTCTACACATTATGTAAGGTACGTCATCTATTTCCGTTGCTATTTGTTCATGAGTCACAGGTCATGAGCTCGTTGGATTGTACTTGGTCTAAAGTTTTCTTCTGGTAACAACAGAAGTCTACAATCTAAAACGATATCAACATTTTGATGTAAATAAAGCTTTGATTTATACAAATGTGTTCGTCTGCCTAATTTCAGATTTGCTTCATTTAAGAACATCAATCAATAGATCAATATATCAATAGTTCAATATCTCAATAGATCAATATTTCAATAGATCAATATATCAATTATTCTAATAGACTTAGTTCTTGAACACATGAACATGTTAAATTCTTTTTGTTTACCCGATAAATTACAGAATGCCTGTAATTAGGAACAATACCATGACCAGCCAATTATCATTTTACCTGTATAATCAAGTTTTTAAATTTTGCAGAATAGGTCTACACCAGACATTAAAGTGCAGAGGTCACACTTTCAAAAGGGAAACACTAAATGGATGCATTCAAAGAATGCGGCTACAAAGCATGTGTTTGATAATATATATTTTTATGTTTCCTTGCTAATAGTATACTATACTATATATACTATGAAAAAAGAAATAAACAAGCTCTCCGCTTGAACTTACTCCACAACATCAAACAAATTAAAAAAATATAATCCTACTTACAACTGAGAAGGGGCACAGCTGACGGTCCAAACTGTAGATTAGACATACAGACCTAATAATGATTAAAGGGAACACTTAGCGAATATGCATCAAAAGAAGATTACAAATCTTGAATAATATTAATATTAATAATAATAATATTAATAATAATAATAATAATAATAATACAGTAATTTAAAAAAGGAAAGCTTTTCAACAACTGAGCATATGAGGGTGAGCGGCATAATAATGATCTGATCTCTCAAGCCATTCTTTGCTTATAACAACATCAATATAAAATAAATATTTTAACATAAAACCCATGTCATGGCTATTTATAAACGTGAGGACTACCTTCATGGTGTGAGTGCGTTTATTGCCAGACTGAGATTAACGATTTCCAGGGAATCAATGAACTCCTTCATATTTCCTTCACTGATTATCAGTCTGTTTTCCAGATCGGTGATCATACTCCAGACGTCTGCGTAGTCCTTACGAGGCGTATTATACAACCCATCGATCTGCTTCACATCAGCTGGGGTCAGTACCATTCCAAATTTCATTAGCTTTTGTCTGTGAGATGTGAATGTTTTTGAAATGGTTTCTTCCTCAACATCTGGGAATGATGGCAGTTTTTGTTTAATCTTCGATAAAACACCAAACTGTTTGGTTACGCTAATAGTATCACACAGGAGTCCAAGATTCTGTGGACTCAGATCACCACGTGCAGATAATATATTCAACAATCCCATTGTGTCCGTTACTTTTGATTGCTCTTCATTTTCTACCTTGTCTTTGAACAACACTTTCAGCATAGGAAGACTTTGCAGATTGTCATACCAACTTGAAACAATGGCTTTAAGTACATTGAAATCAGACAATGCTATAAAATAATCAGACAATATTTAACCAATATATATATATATATATATATATATATATATATATATATATATATAGCCTATCAAATATTTTGGCAACTTATATTCCTGGTTTTTGTTTTTTTGTTTTTTGTTTTGTTGACATACAAAAAATGCACTTTACTATAACAAGCATTTTAAAATAACAAATGAAAAAGAATTCATTGTGAACTTGTACTTGTTAGCATGTTGTGGGAAAACTTGTACTCGTTAGCATGTTGTTTCATTGGTATAAGAGTAATCTGTAAAATATGTACAAAATATTTAAGTATTCTTTGTATTTGTGTAAATTAAGATTTGGTTTCCTTACTCAAAATAAGCATGCTTCCGATTTACTACATTACATTAAAAATTAACCAAATAAAAGCAATTAAATTATGAATAATTGCAATTCATACCTTCTGCACATTTATTATGTACATCATCTGTTTCCATTGTCACTTGTTGACCTGTTTTATCAGAGGTCATGAGCTCAGTCGACTGTACTGGGTGTACAACAGAACCACCTGAAAAATGACATCCAAATTTGCATGTCGATTATTATATAAAAATTCCAACTATGTTTACATATATATATATATATATACATATATATATATATATATATATATATATATTTATATATATAATGTGTATAAAGTGTATATATATACACCCTTGATTTTACAGTTGTTAAAGCCATGTTTAGTAAAAAGCAAAGAGAAAAAATTAAGACTGACTTGAATTACTATGAGCAGATAATTCATAAAATGTTGTATCGGTAACGAATATTGTAACGAATAGAAATTCTCCATTGAAGATCGTTTCTGATTTACTATTTTCAAAATCAACATAAAATAAATCAAACGTTTTAATTTAATAATCATTTAAAAGACAACACTTGCATACCTTCTGCATATTCTATTTCTTTGTCTGTTTTATCACAAGTCTTGAGCTTTTTCACTACAAGTTGGTCTGAGTCTGATATTTTTCTTTTGTTATCAACAGGCGAATCTATAAAATGAAAAATAAATGTGGACATCTTAAATTCTATGTTGTTTTTCATTCTTATCAGTTTTATGTTTGTTTTCGAAAAAAATCAAATCCAATCACATACCTGCTACAAATAGATTCTGTACATTAGCTGTTGACATCGCTATACGTTCACCTGTTTTATCACAAGTCATATTCTTGTTCTTTAAGCACTTTTCAAGTTCTTGAAAATGTGGTTTTCCCGGAGTTGAACAGACTAAACAAAGTATGTTCAAAACATAGCCAACAACTCTCTTAGACGGATATACTTCATCTAGGTGTTTCTTTAAAACATTCAAAACCTGTAAAATTAAATAACATTTTATACCAAATGCAATATTATTAGCCACTTGGTATCAAATCTAATTTTAGCATAAGCAAAGATGACCAATAACCAGTCAATGACTTCCTTACCTCTTTACAGATGTCGGGATGTGGCTTGCGTGCTGGCTTGTCTGCACCGTCTGCCTCTCGTTCTTTCATCCGGGATATTTCAAGCTTTAAAAAAAAAGAAGGAGAAAGTGCTGATTATGAGAAATACAAATTTGATTAAGGCATATTCATGAATACCTAAATGGCGTTATTATGATTAATAAGGAATTAAACAGAATAATAAAGAAATATAAATAGAAATATAAAGAAAATTTAGTAAAAGATTAGTAAAACCATTTATTCCAAAGTACTAAATATTTGTAATTTTAAAAATGAAAGGCTATAAACATTAAAAAATAATATAATAATAATAATAATAATAATAATAATAATAACAATAATAATAATAATATTAATAATATTACCAATAATAATATTTTTTTTAGTATGTATAAAATCCTTTATTTATCTATAAAATATAAAATGATACAAGGATTAAAATATAAAGAATATACAATTCCAAAAATAAACAAATAAGGCTCTATTATTTTATTGTATACAAGCATGAGTACTATGTAAAATTGGTAAGGTACTGTGCATGTATATAAAATAACAATTGTGTATAGCATTGGAAAACATAGAATGACAATAGGCACTTTACGCAACAGGACGGGAAGACGGGTGGACGGTGGTTTTGTGCCCATCAGAGCGTGAAGACCACAGTAAAGAATAGGGCGCTCAATCCGAATTGCCGTTCTCGACGGCTCCCCGTCCTCTTGTGTAAAGTGCCTAATGAAGGTGGGAAACACCCACGAAAGAAAAAAAATTGAAATTGAAAGAAATGTAAGCATTTTAAAACCAAGGGGCACATTTACCTTTAAACACTGCTTGCTATCAATGAATATCCGTCCAAGTCTCAGGTAATGATTATCATCAAATCCTATTTCTGATTTATTCTGAAACAGCAGCTTTGGACCATCAAAACAACCTCTATCCTGACTCAGGTTCACAAATCTAACGACCAAGATATCGTAGACCGCGTCGGGGAGAAAGTCTTTAGGCGTCACATAGATGGATACTGTTTTCTCATCGTCTTTCTTAATCTCCAATCTTTCATCAGGCTTGGTCTTCATCCGAGAAGGGACTACAAATAGTCGACCGTCCTCTTCTGATGCATTCTTTATTAATAATTGAAAAAAAAATTGCATTTGAAATACTGTACTAATTACAATGTGGATGGGGGAATGGACACGTTAAATACTGGCCGCATTTCAACTTCTACAAACCCATTGTATTCTCTCATCTTCCCAAAATTATCAAATATAAAATGAAATTACATAATAGGATTTCCGTATGAGCAAAAATTAACAGCCTCGAGTCTCGATTATATGACAGGATGTTTTGCACCTTACGAAAGTTTGTTCACATATAGTTTGAGAAAAGGACTAGGTTTTCTGTTGTTACAATAATCTAGCAGTAGACCACACCTTTTCAAAGAGAAGTCCAAATGCCTTCATAAGCTCGATGAAGTCTTCAAAGATGACGTCGTCATCCTCATCTTCACTGGCAGTAAGTTCATTTTTCCACAAATAACGCACTAACGGTTCTGGAAGAATCCCTTCTTTATCTAATTTACGCCAAAACTTCGCCATCACTGGAACCTACATGAAGATAAAACAAACAAAAAAAATTTAAAAAATTAAAATCTTATCGAAAGCTAATGTGTTTGGTAAAATGGTGGTTACAATTGTAAAAGCCTCACTTGGATCACATATTTACGAATATGGACGGGGGAGGTTGTAGACTATGGCAATGTAAAATATTATGCCAATTACATTCAAATCTCTCGTGGATTGAAATTAGTTAAACAGAGACCAGACTTAAAAGTGATACCATGAGATTGATATACTGTAAATATTATAATACATTGCATACACACAAACCTATTATTATAATATAATTACTAAAGTATTCCCCCTTCACCTATCACCACACAGCCCAGTAACACTAACAGAATTACTAATAATACCCCTCCTCCCCCTCACTATGGAACCAGTACAGTACAGTACAGTTTTGTTCCTCCCACTGATGCCAGTCACATCCAAGAGGCAGTCTTCTCAGCATCCAAATATATGCTGGGTCCGACTGTTGAAGGGTTTTCTTGACTGAGTTAGCTTCTTAGCTTGACGAGGATCGCACTGAAGGAGATTGCTTAATTTAATCCATGGGTCACGATAGCAAGATAGTGGCGGATCCAGAAATCCGAAATAGAGGTGGCCAGAAAGTCATTTTTACAGATAGCGGCTCCAAACTACCTCAGACCAGCGGTGACGCCAGAAATTGCAGACAAGGGAAAAATCGTCAACGGCCCAGAATAAGAAATTCTTGGTAGGGTTCAACGGGGACTTACTATAGTCTAAAATGTGCTTTTACAACACCATATTACGGATTAGCAATCAAAATAACGTTGTTTGGATAGGCAAATTGTTTTTTTTAAATTGTTGATGTCACCCAATGGTACCACCTCTGCCTCAGACCCACCATAGTTGGGCCGGACATACGATATTGCATGTCTATAGCACTTTTAGATAGCCGTAAATGGCTCTTTTTCAACATTTTTTATATTTCTTTTTCTATTTTTGGAGCCCGGAACGGCTGTGCACCTCTCTCCCACCACTACCATCCACTTGCTTCCGCCAATAGGAACTGTAATCAAATAACTACAATTGTATTTTGTTGGCCTATCTTTTATACATTAAAAATTATACGGTACCTTTTTAGCATCACCAGGTTCTACATCTGTGATGATTTTCATGAAGACACAAATCAGCATATGGATGTTAGTAATAACTGTGTTCTCCAACTTCTTGTTAGTGGGCGAGTACAGAATGACTCCAAGATCATTCAGGTAATTGAGGACGTAAATTAGGTTTTCTTCATTAATACCACATTCCACAGCAATCTTAGTGACCTAAAGAAAAAAATATATATAAAACATATTTAAATTGAGGGCTGTCTAAAAATATTACCACGCGAAAAACTGTTTGATTACAAAATAATTAGCAAATTCACATTTATTAAAATTACAAACATTTTCAGTAATAAATCTAAATGTAAACGAAAAACATAAATCGCTCTTCATCAAATGTTGCCTAATCCTAAGGAATAATTTAAATAAGCATATGATACCTTATTCAAGGACATGCGCATTGTTGTCTTCCCAGCTTCTTGTACCTTAGTTTGAAAGTCCACCCAAGTGATGGGAACAGTTTTTGCCATTGCCTTCATGTAAGCACCAACATTTGATTTTAATCGCTCAATCCCTTCATCCATTTTTGCATTGTTGGCTACTGCATACATATGGCGGTCAACATGACTCTCGAATGGTGTGTCTTCGATTTCCTTAAATATCCTTCTGAATTTGGCGTCAATCTTTCAATACAATTAAATTCATTATGTAGATATATATCTGTCTCTTATACACATCTAGATGTGTATAAGAGACAGAGAAATTGTAATATTATAAATAATAAAATTTAAATGTGAATACATTATAAAAAAATACATCTAAAACCAATATCATCTACACATTTAACTATGTCAAGTAGGGTTTGTTTCTGAGAAAGTTTAATCCCCATAAAGTGGTTTGTTTACTTTATGAATATTTCTTGGTTTTGCAAACTCTTCCAAATCATCACACAAACTGAATACAACTCCGTAAGACGAGCGATCTGTGAGAAAAATCTGAAAATACAATTAGTAAATACGCATTTTAACAACATTAGAACTAACATGAGAATTTCAGCAAAATACAAATAAGAAAACATTACACATGGGGATGTCACAAAATGTATTTGACGATGTCTGGCTATTTAAATATGAATTGTATTTCCGTAGCTAAGAAACAGTTTTATAACAGGTGTGGCGCCAGAGATGTTCCCGACGGCGGACCAATATCCCCGACCGTGGGGGTGGTGGTCGGACGTTTCTCAACAGTTGACCTTTTAGGAATTTAGGGGTTTCAAGGACTTATTTAATCGATTTCAGATTCTAATGTAGAAAAAAACATAGATTTTCGGGAGGAAAATTGGGGTGGGAGCATTGGTATCGTATAGTTTTAATTAATCACCTACCCGGTGTGTAATGTAGTAAGTCATCTGACCGGCATAGTCCCATATGCAAGTTATATCACGCGGTCCGGAGCTCTTGTTAACAAGATTGTCAACAATCTTCTTGCGTATTTCATATGTCATAAACTGAGTGGTTGATCCTCTCGTGTTATCATGAGATACAGATTTTTCTGAAAATAAATAAGAATAAATTTTACAAATAGCTAAACAACGAAAAAAGAAAGGTGTGAAATAATAACAGCAATTATGATGGTGGTGATGACAATAATAACGATGCTAATGACAACGAAATGCTAATGATAATGATGGCAATGATGATTGTGATGATGAATGTGTTGTCGTCGTTGACGACGACGACGACGATGATCATGGTAATTATAATAGTGATGATAAAATGATGATGATGATGATGATAATATTATTGATGATATTATTGATGATGATTATAATGCTGGTGATGATGGTGATGAAGAGGTAGAGTTACTTTTACTTATAATGAGAATGTAATGATGATGGTGATGTGTGTGCTGATGGTGAAGATGCTGATGAAGATAATCATAGAAATAATATTGAGAATATTATTAATACCTCTGCTTCCCTTTCGCGAAGTCGGAGACATAACACCTTCTGGTAATTGAAACTGTAATTAAACAATAAGTCAATTATTTTACCAATATCATTTAAATATAATACAGCATAGCAAACTCTACATTATACGGAAACATATTTTATACTATTTAAAAATCTCAATATTACCAACTTCTGTCTTTATAATTCATACAATTAGGCGTACATTATTCAACTTATCATTTCAGTCAATAGATTTTCTTTAACGAACAAACCTAAATTATTACCAGGCACTATTCTCTGTTGGGGTCCTTACAGCTTTATAATCAAGTCAGTTTTATGACGCGAGTAAACAAGATTGAACCAGTTGTGGTCCTTGAATATACGTAGTATATTTCCTGTCTGTTTAGTCTACTTTAAATAGGCCTATATGTACAGTACAGTTAAATACGCTTATATTTTTTCTATGGTTTATGTTTTTTTATGTTTAGTTCATATGGATAGACCAGTTCATGGTCAATTTCCCCCACCCCCTTGGTGTGGATACCTAGTGTGTGATAGTTCTATGTACCTTAAAGTTCACAACTACTCAGTAACTTTATATACATTACACATATCAATTTTAAGTAATATTCGTACCGTATGTATTTTTTTTAATTATATTGCCACACTTATTGTATGTATATGTAGATTTGTTTGAATATTTTTATGTTAAGGACACGAGGGTAGGTGGAAATATTTGTTTGCAGATTGAGATACAAAATGCAAGATCTATTCTCCTTACATACGATAGTAACTTTGGTATCTATTCTAGTTATTATTATTAATATTAAAATTGTTACAGTGATTGATTGATTAGCGTGTGTAATATCAATTTAACGAATAATTACAACAAACAAAACGGATTCAAAATATATTCAGTTTATATACGATAAATACATTACCAAACATTTTCGTAACATACATACAGGTAGTGGTTAATATACGAAATGCTAAAAACAATAAATTTCTGAGTTTCACACAGCAACAACTTTACTACAGAAAGTTACAAGTAAACCTACATACGCACACTTAACACGAAAGTGGTAATGTTAAAACCAACTGAAAAGATTGAATCAGTGGTGGTCCTTAAATATACGTAGTATATTGGTGTCTGTTTAGTCTACATATACAGTTAATTACACTTATATCTTTTCTATAGTATGTTTAGTTCATATGGAAAGGCAGTGCATGGTCAGTTCCCCCCCCCACCCCTTGGTGTGGATACCTAGTGTGTGATAGTACTATGTACCTTAAAGTTCACAACGACTCCAGTTCTTTATATATTTTACACATATAACCTTTAGTTAAGACTCAACATACGGGGAGCCGTCTTTAAATAGATATTCTGTTGTTACAGCAATGATTATGCACCACATAATTATTACTGTCAAAATATTATGTGCATATAATTAATTCCGTTGTTACAGAAATAATTACAGTATGTACCACAAAATCTGCATCCATTGGTGTGGATGCCTAGAAAGTTTAAAAATCACAACGACTCCATTACATTCACAACGACCTCATTACTTTATATTCTTTAATATACATAGAAATTTTAGGTAAGACTAGTATATATTTTTTATTACACATAGGCCTACTGCCACACTTGCTGTATCTTTATGTAGATTCGTTTGAATATTTTTATGGACACGAGGATAGGTGGAAATATTTGTGTGCAGATTGAAATACAAAATGCAAGATCTATTCTCCTTACACACGATAGTAACTTTAGTATCGCAAAAACAATTGCACTGGTTATAATCAAAAGTGAAAATAAATATGACATGTATTATCAATAATCCAAACGTATGTTACCATAGGGATTCGAACTCACGGCCTTCGGGTTACTGTTGGTTGTGTAGTGGTTGTGTGTGTGTCCTGTCTCTTATACACATCTAGATGTGTATAAGAGACAGGCCCAGAACGCCTCAAATGTTATTTTCAGTATATCATTAAAAGCTAATCAATCATTTAAACCCTGAATTTATTAAAATTATTGCATAGCGATGTGGCTTAGCTGATTGCACGTCCATAAATAGGCGGATTATTGGTTCAGGCAGGGCTTTTTTAAGTTTAAGCTGAGTGTTGTTGAGAAGTAATGTTATTGTTTCCTGTGCTGTAGAATTTGAGTCTGGTCGCTCGACTCCTTAAATAATCATCACAGTGAAAGTTAGGGAAGGACCATGTTTGTATCCGTTACATCGTGTGTGGCTGCCACGAATACTAGAATTTCCAGCCCGAATATCCAATTTCCAATTTTAATGAGGACAAATAAAGAATGAATGTTCTCAAATAAATGTTATTATTACTATTAATTTATTATTATTATTATTATTATTATTATTATTATTATTATTATTATTATTATTACTATTATATCATTTAGGTTTATTATAATAAATCATACCATCCACATCCTTCTGTTCCTCCCATTTGATGTAATCTTTGCCTACACTTTGAAAGACAGTAGTTGTAACAATACCAGCAGTAGAAGGCTCATGCTTATCAAATCTATTAATTGAAGTTTGACATCGTCATTATAGAAATGTATAATACTTTCATTATCAGCATCAACATCAACGATATCAACGATAACATAAATAAATATTAACGAAAACAATGGTAAATAATAATATTCCTGATGATGACAAAATTAATGTCGAAATATTGACGACGACAAAGACGGCGACGACGACGACGACGACGACGACGAAGACGACGATGACGACGACAACAATAATAATAATAATAATAATTATTATTATTATTATTAATACAGTGATTGATTTACTATCGTGTGTAATATCAATTAACGAATAATTACAACAATCAAAACGGATTCAGAATATATATTACAGTTTACATATGATAAATAAATTACAAACATTTCCCTAACATAGGCCTACCTATAGTTTATTAATTTTCGAAATGCTAAAAATAACAATAAATTTCGTAGTTGCTATTAAATCCCAATTACATATAAAGGCCGTGTCATCCGCCACTCGACCCCGTCACCTAGCAACAACTTTCTTTCAAAAAGTTAGCTTACACGCGCACACTAGCGCGTGCATATTAAAAGTTGAGTAGAAAACGAATGTACACTGTAATGTAAAAACCAACTGAAAAAAAGCAAGCAAAGTAAATCGATATAAAGTACAAAACCTAATACATCCGATTGTACTTACTCTTTCCCAAGCATGGCTTTGACACAAGATGTTTTTCCTGAACCCTCGTTACCTAGGAACATCAGTCTTGAATTAACAACTGTTATTTCACCGTTTTTAAGTGCATCTCTGAACGCTTTGACGGCATCGGGACCCCTGGCTAAAATCTCTGAAGGAATCGACAGTTCTATTTCATAAAAAAGAAAAAAAAAAAATCAAATACTTTAATAATTTAATTCACTTTCTAAATTACATGTATTTTAATTCATTACGATTTTTAAAAAAATATTAATAAAACAACGGGAATAATATCGCTGTTCTTTAAATGGATCCTAGTTCTTTTGTATGCCGTTTGGTAGCACTGTTAAAAATAATATTATTGTGTCGAATTATTATAAAATAATAGAAAAAGAATGTGTAAGATAAGTGTTATCATACCTTCAAGTAAACCTCTTAATTCTTTCTTTTTCTCTCTCCTTTTGGTTTCTTCGTATCGTTCACAATCGTTTTCATCATACTCGTCAAGAGGCGTCATATCAAACTGCAATAACAGACACGAGCACGCGATGATTGGTTTCATTGCAAATTAATTCGGTTGGAAATTAAATCCACAGGAAACAGTGGTATATTTTGGTTTAATAACCAATGATATAATAATAAAATGGTAAATAATAATTTAAATATCAACACTATTAGCATTACAACTTTATAACTATTGTTGTAAATTACTATCACATCACATCGGAAATAAAAATATTCATTGAAATCATACTTCAAAAAGAATCATCATTATTTACTATGATATTAATCGATTTAATACTTATATGAATTGATATTTATTACGTTGGTTTTAATTAGTAAAAATGTTTCAAGTAGTTTCATATACAGTTGTTGTATTAAGGTCATTGACTGATATTCTTTTGATGCATTTCATTTTTCTGTACATTACCATATCTTTTATTGTCACGGACGCGCCGAAGGTTATCAGGCAAATTGCGACTTCCTTGTGTTGCTCGTGCGTCAGCCTCTGATGTAGTAGACAGTGATGTAGTGCTGTGCGTCCATTCTGCAATGAAATGATAATCAACGTCAAGTTTGTTGAACACGCACAACACAAGAATATCAATTAACAAATATTACGCAAACGTAAAATACCTGAAATAATTTATAACTGGTATAATTCATTAACGCCAATGTAATATGTAATATTGATAATAATAGGCCTATTAAAGTTTATCATTATGATATTGATTATAATATTACGATGATAATGATCATGAGGACAAATAAAATTTAAATGAATACTAACATATAATGGAATGGTAATATTACTCCAGCTAATAATATTTATAACGAAAATGATGCCGATGATGGTAATTGTGATGATGATGATAATGGCACTAACAATAGTAATAATACAATACTGTAATGATAATGGTGTTAAAAAGGATATTATTGAAATATGGCTAGTTATATTATAATACATGACGGGCAGTACTTAGTACAGTAGTTAGAATTATACAACGATAAAAAAAACTATCTCAACACAGTTGTAAATATAATAGGCCCTAAATTATTATTAATACAATAATATTAGATTACTTTTACTAAATTAGAACGTGATGTATTGAATGTGTTTGTGAGTGAATTAATGTTAATTTGTTAGCAATGAATAAAGTGTTGTTTTCTTCTACTGTACTCACGCTGTCTTGCGTGTTAATCTTCTTGTTGGTTTTTTCCAACACGCGTCTCATTGCTGACACGGGTGCGAAGGACGCCAAGTAATGGAGAATAGTGTAACCATAACGCTACAAGACAAACGTAGAATATGATGAGAAAGAAATAATAAACAAATATACACACACACCACATATCAACAACACATAACAACTCACAAACATCACACATACATTACTTATTACATTCATCATTATTAAATACTAATTACCGGTACATTATTTAATATTTTAAAATGTGGGTTTTTTAGGCGAAATCGCGCAAAAAATATTTGTATCAATTGGCCTATGTTTTACACACAATAGTAAAATATTTCCAAATTGGGATTTTTAGCGAAAATACTTTTTGTGAAAATATCAATTTTATTGTCACTAATTTATTCAGTAAACTGTATTAAGCAGAACAAATCCAAACATCACCATTTTTGTAAGTGTAATATGTATTTTTTCACAATGTTTCATATGAAATGTGATAATGGCCATAACATAGGCTTTTTCTGTGTTGTAAAATATGTCAAATAAATCATGAAATAAAAATCTCATTTTCAACCCAACATGAAATAAATTACTTTGAGTTATTTGTATGTTTTATGATGTGTACACATGTTGTGTGCTTGTCATGTTTAAAATGTAATGATATTTAATTCTACTCACCGTCTGGTGTTCTAAACACTTAACTGTTGCCGTTTTAATCATATTCTCCAACACATCATCTGGTGCGCCGTAGATCGCAGCGTGCATTAATGGCGTCCAGTCGTTCTACGAAAACAAACATTACACTGAATTACGATACAGTTCATACAACTACCAACAATATTTTTTACGCGTTTCATAATTTCAATGGTACGATGATATTCCAATATCATTTAAGAAATACTAAATTATAAATAGTTAAAAATGTGTGTTATAATACACACATTCATTTAAATATATTATATTGATTTTATTTACGATAAATTTTTGGTCATTTTTTCACAATTATTAAGAGTTAAAATAAGATTAACAAAATACTGTAATGTTATTTATAAGTGTTTTGGAAAAGGGAATAAGGTACTGTGTCATTGAAAAGGTCGAGACATACCGTAACTTTTACTGTAGTTGTTGAGTCATGGTTTATGTTTAGTATGTTAAAAAATGATATTACTGTACTAATAATAGGCCTTTTACTTAGCATGTCTATATTTTGTTAGTACAGTAGTATAGTAGGCCCCTATTATATTTCCTTGTAAACTGTTTTTGCGTGAACCATGAAATTATTGATAAGCTATTTTTAAAAGGGAGTACGTTACTTTGTCAGTGAATAGGTTTAAACATAAACGTATAGTTGTTGGACCATGGTTTGTATTTAGTATTTAAAAAAATGATATTAGCATGTCTATGTTTTGTCAGTAGAGTATAGTAGGCCATATGCCTTGTAAATTGTTCGTGCGTGAACCACGTATTAACATTTTATAAAAACAGGAGAATACTTGACAACGGCGCGTGTAAATAATTTAAAAAAAAAAAATTTGATAATTTTATAGGCCTACTCATTAACTAAAATGAAGAGCACGAGTAAAACAAATCTAAGTAGGAACAATTAGAGTTGATAAATCATTTAGTACGAAAGTCCCTAGACTAAATACCGCATGGCCAATTTAGTAGTTTATGCAAAAAATATTAGAACGTATTATTTTTTACGTCTGAAAAATAATGGTTTTTTTATCGAAACTTTTAACATAATAAAATACACAATGTAAGTAATTTAAATATAATAAATAATATTTTCGAAAAAAAAAATCATTAGTTTATCACCCCTCCCTCGTCACTTTTGGGGAAATTCTTTTGACAGTGACAGTCAGTTATTTAAATATAACATGTGATCAAATTATTAATATAATACTATTTTTTAAAATTCATTTAATTAATGGACTTTTTCTTGAGAAATGAAAATGATATTAACAATTAAATGATGTGGATTTACTAATGAATTTTGATAAAATATTAACCAGAATAAATCAATATATAAGAACTTAATGCAAAAAAAAAAGAAAAAAAAAGAAAAAAAAAAGCTCCCTCCCTCATCAGTTTTTATTCTTTGATAGGCTAAGATTTTTTTTTATGGGGCGTTAGCTAACACATGAAAGATTTTTGTGTTTGGATTTTAAAATAACTAGGAATAGGCCCAATTATTTCTTATGCCAATACAATTGCATTAAGTTCTTAAGTATTTATTTATTCTGGTTAATATTTTATCAAAATTCATTAGTAAGTCCACATCATTTAATTATTGATATCATTTTCATTCCTCCAGAAAAAGTCCATTAATTAAATGAATTTTTAAAAATAGTACTATATTAATAATTTGATCACATGTTATGGTTAAATAACTGACTGTCTCACCTATTTTAAATTAACCTATATTAGATTAAAATAAATACCGGAGACGAGGTTTATTGTGTTAAGAAACAGGAAAGCATGAGACGAGTGAGACGAATTTCCAATTTAAATCAACCAATACGATATATCAAAAAAATTATCTAATTAACACATTATAAATTCAAACCCATCTAATAAACCAATACGATTTATTTACTTATGGCCTAAGTTTACTTACAGCCATTCATCGCCAATTATTATTAATATTATTATTTTATTTACAACTTAACGAAAAGCAGGTGTATTACCCATTGATATTAGTCGTATTAAAAATTGTTTTCGTTTTTATCCTGTATTTCGTTTTATGAACGCATAGTGCCTCATTAAATCACTTTGTATACTGTTTTTTGCATGTTATATTGTTTTATTTTATAAACACAGGAAAGCAAATATCATGTATATTTTTATATGTGACAATAGAATCTATCTTGAATTTTGAATCTTGATATTGAATGTCATCGATATTGTAAAAGTACAAGTTCAAATAAATATTGTTGAACTACAGAGGGCGCTAGACTCGTTTTTTGAGTTATCAGGGAAACATCAATGCGGAAGTTTATCAACTAACGAACTAATTTGTAGGCCAAATATAAATATAAATAAAATGTATATTGGCCACACGACTTGTACTTAACAAGAATGACAATGTGGTTTAATTGAGCATGGTGCATTTTAAACGAGAACTTTCTTTATAAAAAGCAATTATTGTGGAAATGTTTAGTACAGTGTGAATGGTAGAGGATAGTAATAAATGCTCATAATAAAGATATATTCAAGCCCCGAAACCTAAATACCGGGCTGTGTTCAGCGTTAGATAATGTTACCATTTATTAAGTAAAGTAATAATATTGGTTACAGTATTAGAATAATGGTTTGAAGACAAAAACATCAAAATAGACCCCTCGCCTATGAGATGGCCAAATATTATTCACCAAACATGGCTAAATTAAATAATAAATTTCTGTATAAAAACCATCAATATTGTTTTATTTATTATTAATAAATAAACATCTCTTCATGGTTGGTTAATTTCAGCATGGAAGGGCATTTCATTTTTTTTATTGATTTAATCCGTTGATTTTGTATCTTTATCAATATCTTATTCTGAATTCTCTGATTACAGTAAAACACGATTTATGTTAAATAAATTATTTTCACTAACATTTTAGTCTATAATATGAACACTCATTGGTATAGGCCTACATACTAAAACTTCTGAGTATCTAAGGCGCTACAATAGAGAAATGCGAGACAATTACCAAAAATGCGAGACAATTACCATTAAAGCTATACAATGGCTGTTAATTATGTTATTTGGGACATTTGAAATGATAAAAAATGAAATAAATTTATTATAGATTTTTACTATCTAAGTAAAGCGCAATAATACACTACATAAAAGTATACAGTAATTTGTACAACATATATTGAACTAGAGAGGGCACTAGACCGATTTATTTAGTTCTCAGTAGAGTCTTCGCGGACGTTTTGATGATTAAACCATGGACCTATTAATAAGCCCATGATTAAACCACACATTTTTTAGTTAATTAAAGAGAATGAAAATTTTGTTTTCAATTCTGTATGGCAGATTAAATTTTTTTTAAATCATAAAAAACCCAGAAAATAGGTACACATATTTTGTGCAAATAATTGAGATCTTTGTGTTGTGTTGGAACTGCATCTTATTTGAAAAATATGATATTAATAAAAATTCTAAAATCAAGAAAATCACGTTATAAATCTAACTTAATACTTGCCTCATCCTGCGTATCAATAAGATGAGGTTCATTTTCAAGGATGTCTGTTACTGCTGGCCAGTCCTCTCTCTTTATAGCCTGTACTAATTTGTTTCTGTGACATAACAAGCAAGGAAATGTATGAATTCTTTTTCTTACAATGTCATTGTAAATACAGTTGATTTAACCATGTTTCTCATGAATATTAATTCTTGACATTACTGTTATCCTCATCACTCAAAAATAGTTAATAACATGTTAATGATTAGATATTTCGCAAACAAAATAACTATACTTCAGTAATCACATAATTATAATTAAATTCTTTACAATAACAACTTGTAATGTGTCTGTCAGTACATAATTGTACTCGTTTTAAGATTATAGTTATATTAGCTCGTTTACTTAATGTTTACTTGATACAAATTATTACACTAGAGTACTCACTCATCGTCGGGTAGAGTTTGTAAAATTATTATACATAATACAGTACTCACTGAGCTCTTGGTAGAACGTTCATGGTTATCGATGGTTTGTGACGTTCGTATTGATCGTGTCGAATAGTGAAATATCTGTGAATAGTGGTACAGCCTTATTTTGTAAACAAAATAACTATACTTCAGTAATCACATAATTATAATTAAATTCTTTATAATAACAACTTTTAATGTGTCTGTCAGTACACAGTGGTACAGCCTTATTTAATTAGAACGAATAAGTCAAAACCTAGCATACACAAACTTTACTTTTTCGAACAACTTGTAGGAACAAAATAGCGAATATTCACAAGCTACATGATTGGCTGTCCTCGTCACGTGATTTTGAATTATTCTGCTTTTAGTTCCTGTGTGCCTCTACAAATCATTCGGTTGAATACATACGGTAATAAATTTACGGTACCGTGTACAAGGAACAATTAAGGTACATACCCACACCTGATGACGCCCATTTGGGGCGAGCTCACGGATATATTTTATTATTATTTAATTAACTAATTATTAAAGTATTTTACCAGTTCCTCTGTTTACTAAAATATACTTTTAATCTCTACCAGATCATTTGGCTATGCCAGTGATACAATTTTAATCCAGGCGGTCTTTAACTACAGGTAAAACGAGCATAATAATACGGTACAGGGGACCTATATTCAATTTATAAGTCCAGACCTCTCGGAGAAGGAGATGGGAAGCGCATATCGGAAGGCATCGACGGACACATACACTTCCCACCCTCTACAATGACATCCCCCTACCGTTCTCCCCAACCGCTCTAAATCTAATGCTGAGTATCTATTCACATAATATAGGAACCGTTGCTTAATCCCGTTTCTGGTATCGACCTAAAAGGTAACGGAAGTGGGTGCGGCAAACGATGTTTAGATAGACCTAGTAAATGTTTTCTGTCTATCAATCTTTTGGGAAGTGTATTTCAAAAGCCTTCTCAATGAAAGTGTTAATATAGTTATAGTCCAAAGCAAATAACCGTTTAATAAAATATACGACCTTTTAAAACTAAATGGTCTTCGGAAATGTACTGTAGTGTCGATTTGTGCTTGCGTTGTGTTGAGGGACTTGTTGAACAATGATTGGCTCGTTCGACTGTAAGCTAATATTCATACAGCAGTAATAAACGGATTTACGTCACAATAAAATACGTTATTGCTATCAAAATGTATTCATAATGACTTATTCACGAATTAGAACCATTTCCGCGTCGATTTCTGAGCCAAGAGAGTTCACAGTAATGGCGGCACTGCAGAAGGAGACGTGGGCGATTTTCTTTGTACGGTCATATACTTTTCTTGCATCCTTAGCATACAATACGTATAGGCCTATTGTTTTAATGATAGGCCTACTGTAAATGGATAGCTTTCCAAAAAACAAAACAAAAACAACAAAAAAATGATTGTATATTTAATCGTATCAATCTAAAATAGTTGAAAACGTGTCTCTGGTGAGATTCCAAACTGCAAGGCGAGTATCATATCCATTAGACCACATAGACCTACCAGGATACAGGCGAAGATCCAAGCCCCAGGCGCTAGACCTCTCATAGAACTGCTGTGGTTAAGCTAGAAAAGCTTGTAGGTCGCAGTACAGTGGCGTACGGTACAGCCAGTACAAAGAATGGGCAAGGGCCCAATTATAAATAGACCTATAAATAATAATTAATAATAATTTCAAAATTAATTTTGAAGGGAAAAAAAACGGGGGGGGGGGGGGGGGGGCGGGGGGGGCCCCTCAACGATATTTGGATTTTAGAAGAGTAATTATTGATTACTGGGTTGGTTTCTATTAACTGGTGCATTCAAGGAGGCCCCAGCAGGCTCGATAGCCTATTTTTTCATGAATTATAAAAGAAAAAACAAAACGAAATTTCATTAGGGCCTATATTATAAACCTTAGAGCGGCCATTTCCGGCCATCTAGAGGTGCTAGAGGCTCTATAATCATTTCTTACCTCGGCCCCAACCCTGGTTAGGGTGAGGTGGTCTTCGTCATTCACCTGTGAAAATCCCTCCCTGGCCCCTCTATTTCGAATTCCCAGATCCGCCACTGCAATTGTTTATTTTACGTGCAATTCAATTTTCCTGATTAGTTTACAGCGCTGAGACCAAATATGTTCTCCTCTTAAAATAGTTACGAATCCAATTACCATTAGTATTTATTACTAATCCAGGCCCTTAGGATTAGCAGGTAAAGCAATTCTTACGATGAATCAATCTTACACTGGGGCCCTTTCCCACCTAGCTACGCCGCTGCACAGCTAGGAAATCATAGCAAATAATACAATTTAAAGCATGTTTGTTGCGTAGCATCGTCAACACGATACTAATAAACAAATAATGTATTTCAGTATTTCAGTATTTAAACTCGCTTTCAGAACAGTGGAACACACCTGTATACGGTAGTGCGTCCATAGGGCCTAATACAATAATACAATCAAGTAGCAATTATATAAAGAACACAGATTAAAATAGAAACAAAGGAAACAACAACAGATTGGCGAGAGAAAAAAAAATACAGTATTAAAGATTAGTAGTCAAAAATATTATATAATAGTCAAAATAGAAAAATGATACCAAATGTTTAATAACAATACTCACATTTTATTTGTTTATTAAAAGGAATACAGAACTTACTTTTGATTATAAAATAGACGTGAAGAATATCAAGTAAATTATGAACATAATATTGGATTAATTTTATACTAAACAGTGAATTCATTGAAAAGGTAGAAATATAGTTAATATTAAAAATAAATGTATACAATTAATAATGAGGTATATATATATATATGCCTATATAAGTACCGGTACATCTTATTAAAAGTATATTAAAAATGTGTGTATACAATTAATAATGACGTAGGCCTATAT